AAACTCTTGACCGGAGAAAAAAAATGTACGGAACCTTTTTCCGCAATTGGCTGTGTACAGTACTTGGGCGCTGCAAGGAAATGGCGAGTTTGATTTTGGAGGGAAACCAGGGGTTGGGAATGATGCCGGATGGGGTGTCGAAATCAACCTGCAAGTAACACGCTGTAAGTGTGTAATGCAACACGCCAATCCCAGGCATCGCGAAAAATTCCCCAGCGATGCCTATCAAACATCAAGCCACTGGATGGCATGCTGTTTGACACACAGGTATAGGTTCCGATGATATGTGTTGCACGTAAACATGTGCTGCAAACTAACGACTTTGGACGTCTCGATTGCATTGCAGCGCGCACTGGAGCCTCGCTGTCATCGAAATTAAGGCCGCGCCGGAATCCGTTATCCCAATCAAGTGTGTACTGTGGCATGCGGACTCATATGCAACTCACGTCGACATTGATGGGCCATTAAGAAAGTGAGATATGTGCTGCATATGAAACGCCCTTGTTGGGAACCGATGTTAACAAGCAGTACGTCTCAATGCGCAGGTGTTTGATGAGTCAGGTCATGCAGCGCTACGCGTGGGTCACGGAGACCGAAGCAGAGGCCTGGGCAGCTGCGATTCAGTTAAACGCCATAGCGGTATGTGAATTAACGGATTAAGGGAGGAGTGGTGTGGGACAGGCCGCGCATGAACAAGCATGGGATGCGCTGATGAGTAGGGGAGGGGGTGTTGTGTGCTGCGCATGGACAGACACGGGATGCGCGGATGAGTAGGGGAGGGTGAGTTTTGTGATGCGCATGGAGAAGGCATGGGATGCGCGGATGAGTATGGGAGGATGAGTTTTGTGATGCGCATGGAGAAGGCATGGGATGCGCGGATGAGTAGGGGAGGGTGAGTTTTGTGATGCGCATGGAGAAGGCATGGGATGTGCGGTCGAGTAGGGGAGGGTGAGTTTTGTGATGCGCATGGAGAAGGCATGGGATGCGCGGATGAGTATGGGAGGGTGAGTTTTGTGATGCGCATGGAGAAGGCATGGGATGTGCGGATGAGTAGGGGAGGGTGAGTTTTGTGATGCGCATGGAGAAGGCATGGGATGTGCGGTCGAGTAGGGGAGGGTGAGTTTTGTGATGCGCATGGAGAAGGCATGGGCGGACGAGTAGGGGAGGGTGAGTTTTGTGATGCGCATGGAGAAGGCATGGGATGTGCGGACGAGTAGGGGAGGGTGAGTTTTGTGATGCGCATGGAGAAGGCATGGGATGTGCGGACGAGTAGGGGAGGGTGAGTTTTGTGATGCGCATGGAGAAGGCATGGGATGTGCGGACGAGTAGGGGAGGGTGAGTTTTGTGATGCGCATGGAGAAGGCATGGGATGTGCGGACGAGTAGGGGAGGGTGGGTTTTGTGATGAAGATAGAGAGGCATGGGATGCGCGTATGGGATACTCCTCTCCTCCCAACCCTGCTGCTACTCCTCTCCTCCCTTCCCTGCTCCTACTCCTCTACGCCCTTCCCTGCTCCTACTCCTCTCCGCCCTTCCCTGCTCCTACTCCGGAGAAAGTTAAATGCTCCTCCCTTCCCCCCTCCTACTCCTCTCCGCCCTTCCCTGCTCCTACTCCTCTCCTCCCCTTCCAGGCTGCTACTCCTCTCCTCCCCTTCCATGCTGCTACTCCTCTCCTCCCTTCCTTGCTGCTACTCCTCTCATCCCTTCCCTACTGCTGCTCATCTCCTCCCTTCCCTGCTGCTACTCCTCTCCTCCCTTCCCTGCTGCTACTCCTCTCCTCCCTTCCCTGCTGCTACTCCTCTCCTCCCTTCCCTGCTGCTACTCCTCTCCTCCCTTCCTTGCTGCTACACCTCTCTTCCCTTCCTTGCTGCTACACCTCTCCTCCCTTCCTTGATGATACTCCTCTCCTCCCTCCCTGCTGCTACTCATCTCCTCCCTTCCCTGCTGTTGCTCCTCTCCTCCCTTCCCTGCTGCTGCTCCTCTCCTCCCTTCCCTACTGCTGCTCCTCTCCTCCCTTCCCTGCTGCTGCTCCTCTCCTTCCTTCCCCCCTCCTACTCCTCACCTCTCTTCCCCCATCCTACTCCTCTCCTCCCTTCCCCCCTCCTACTCCTCTCCTCCCTTCCCTGCTGCTACTCCTCTCCTCCCTTCCCTGCTCCTACTCCTCTCCTCCCCTTCCCTTCTGCTACTCCCCTCCGCCCTTCCCTGATGCTACTCCTCTCCTCCCTTCCCTGCTGCTACCCCTCTCCTCTCTTCCCTGCTCCTACTCCTCTACGCCCTTCCCTGCTCCTACTCCTCTACGCCCTTCCCTGCTCCTACTCCTCTCCGCCCTTCCCTGCACCTACTCCTCTCTGCCCTTCCCTGCTCCTACTCCTCTCCGCCCTTCCCTGCTCCTACTCCTCTCCGCCCTTCCCTGCTCCTACTCCGGAGTGTGAGTTGTGTGATGCGCATGGAGAAGGCATGGGATGCGCGGATGAGCAGGGAAGGTGGGGGGGGCGGGTAGGGGGGGGGGGGAAGGGGCTGGAGCGCTGAAAGCTGCTCATGGTAACGCCTTGTATGAATCACCTGATTTTTGTGCAATCTGCAGGTGCGCCAGCAGGACAACGAGAATGACTGCGGCGTTTTTGTGATGCGTGTCATTCATACGCTTGTCGAGACCAAGTTCGACTGTTTGAATGCGTGTGACCTGGTCGGGACACCAAGACAGTGGAGGCGCCAATATCGTCACGATTTGGCTAAGTGGTCCTGTGTCGTTGGACCATGCAAGTAGTTTGATCCAGGCTGATCGAAACCCCTAAGCCTGCTTGCTAGTAGTTAGTGACATGCATTAGCACCTGACGTTCTGCTGCGTTGTACTGCTCATCGTTTGATGCAAACTTGCCTGACAGTTTGATAACTGATTTACACCGGACAGTAAGCTATAAGAAATCCATTGCATACCCTATGGACTCGTAGAAACACGATTACAAGCGCGCCCGGGAAACACATAATCGTTCTATTGCAGCACCCTAGATAAGGTGGTATGCATCGGCCGATGAATGCAGCAATGAGGCCACTACGCCGGGGCTATATTCACCAGAGATGCAACATCTACATGGCATGCCAGTTGTTGGTGTGAAACTGACTGTGCTTGCTCTCAACAATTGCATAGTGCGTATTGATGGCTGCAGACTTGGACGTTGTTAAAGACAGAGTGTGATGGCACTCACGCCTAGTATTCACCCTATATCGCCAATGATGATTTTGGTTGAGGTATATGTTGTTTCCTAGACTGCTAGTTTATGCGTGAAGGATTGCTGTTTCGAAACACCCTATTCTTAACTACTTTATAAGTTAGTTTATGTAAACAAGTATTCCATATTACCCTAATTCGTCATACTCAAATAACGTCAGCCCAGGAACATCCTCGCTACAAAGAGTGGTGCTACGAAATCGAAATTTCAACGCAACCACGAGGGGCACTCACGTACCGCGATGTTCGAAATCCACCACGGCTCGAAGCGCGCTAGTGCACGGACAACGCTCTTTCAAATTGCTGCTGTCACATTGGTGTTTTTTTTTTTTTGTCCTTGTTATTTTGTAGTGCGGCAAAGGCCTGGTTCGGTTCCCGTACTCACGCTTGTAATTACTTACTCGAACGCCCCCGCGACTAGCCCTATTAGGCTGCTCAAAACTAGGATTTGAAATAATGGCTCATTGCCATCGCGTTCCCTGCAACTTCAAGGGCAGTTGAACTGTCGTGATCCACCACCACCACCCAGCGTGCTGCCATGTGGGAATTCGTTACAGGAACAAGGATCTGGAGCCGACGCTCGATCAAGAGGTGAGGCCACGATACCCTCCACGCCCGAAGCACCCAGTTTGTCTAGCTGGTAGCAGATAGGTTCTCCTCACGATATCCCTCTACGGTATGTACGTCAAGCAACTGCTATCTGTTCGTCCATGTAGATGGTTCCTCTGGCACTCTATGCAAAGTGAGAAGCTGTTTGTGCTAGCCACGTAATAGTTGTCACGGTGCTGTTCTCATACTAGTAGACACGTCCTGCTTGGCGCGGCGGTGCTGTTCTCGTAGTAGGCACGTCCTCCTTTGGCGCGGCGGTGCAGGAACAGAATAGGCTCGTGGCGCGGTGGTGCTGGTCTCGTAGTAGGCTCGTACTGCTTGGCGCGGCGGTGCTGGTCTCGTTGTAGGTTCGTCATGGTTTGGCGCCGCGGTTCTGTTCTCGGACGGCGCGTCCAGAAATGACGCGTGTCGCGGCTGTTCTATCTTGCACGACTTTGGTCGGCGCGTTTCGTGGGCACGTAGTGCGATTGCGCGCTGCTGTTCTGGCAGGCATGTCCAGCTCGCGCGCTGCTGTTCCTTGAGTCTCTAAGGCCTATTTATAGAATCTCTGAGCACGTGGGTTTCATAGCTCAGTTCGGTAGCCGTCAATTGTGCTTGTTTAGCAGAATTGTTAGAGAGATGGCGGACATCATCGTTACCGATCAGGCCAATGCTAGTGCGCTCCTCGGTAGCGCTGGAGCTCTACAACTCTCGGGCGACGCGAGAACCGACGCGGAACAGAAGCTGCACGACAAGATGACGCCTCATGATACCTCGCACCTAGTTGTGAGGTATCGTCGGAAGAACACGCTTCCTGCACGCGATGCCCAGGTGGAATCGGAAGGGGCATCTTCTTCGGATGGTGAGCAATCTGAGGAAGAGGCATACAATGGCAAGGTTGGTCGCGGCGGTTCACGCGGGCGGAGGAACGGTCGAAAGCTGAAGCCGTTGGACCAGTGTAAACCTGCTACAGGGAGGAAAGGTACGGATCAAGCTTTTATATCCATTCTGCGTTTGTATGTCTTAAAGTTGCTCGTTATTAGCCTGGCTGTGTATGCACACAATCCAGAGAGGTGCGGCCCTCGTATTATCTGAGCATATCGTCTTGATGCGTGTTGTAGGTACACGCGCCGGTGCCAAGAGCAAGAAAAGGGGGAAACAAGACGCAGCGGGTGCAACAGGACATGGAGAAGATGCAGACGACGAGGAGCAACAGCCAGAGAAAGGGCATAAGCGTGAGGACGAGCGTGAGGGAGAGCGTGAGGGCAGGAGAGAGGGTGAGCGTGAGGGCAGGCGTGAGGGCAGGCGGGAGGGCAGGCGTGATGGCAGGCGGGAGGGAGAGCGTGAGGCTGAGCGAGAGGGAGAGCGAGAAGGTGAGCGAGAGGGAGAGCGAGAGGGAGAGCGAGAGGGAGAGCGTGAAAGAGAGCGTGTTGTGAAGTGTGAGGGAGAGCGTGATGTGCAGCATGAGGGAGAGCGTGATGTGCAGCACGAGGGAGAGCGTGAGGTGAAGCGTGAGGGAGAGCGTGATATGACGCGTGATGAGTCTTCTCCCTCTACTCCAGCAGGTGCCCGTGCGGATGATGCACAGAATGTTCGTGGTCATGGGGAGGGTGGGAGGGAGAGACGTGGCGCAGAGTTAGATGATCAGAGAGGGGTGTCAGGGAGAGTGAAGGCACGGGCCAGAAATGCTGGAAAGAAGGCCGTTGCAGAGGTGGAATCTTCAGATGAAGATGATAGTTCTGAGGAGGAATCAGGGAGTTCCTCCGGGAGCGAGGAGAAGTATGATGAGGAGGAGGACGAGAGTGATGACGCTGAATCTGAGTCCGGGAGTGATGACGACGGTAGGAGAGGGGGGAGGGCACGAGGAGCGCGCAACCACCGCTATAGTGGAAAGCGTGGTCATGCAACCGGTGGTAAGGCCGGTAATGGACGTAAACGGCAGAGACGTCGAGAGCGTGCTCAAGGAAAGCGCACAGAATCTGAGGGACCCAATCGGCATCGTAAGGAGCGTCCTGTTGTGAGACAGGACCTTCGCTTCTACGATGAGATGAGGACCTTGGGTCACTCGGAAGATGCTGGACCGTCGAATCGTCGGGAGACCGTTCGGATGAAACAGGCAGCAACCAACGATCCGTATGCTGCCCTTGCTTCTACCTCAGGATTGGGAAAGAGGGCGTCTCGATTTCAAGATTGGAGCGTGCGTGAGAACGCTGGCCAGCAGCATGACAACACGCTCAATCCAGCCGGTGGTGGTGACGATCTGGCCTGGGGTGGGGGGCTGGGGGCGAATGAGGGTGAGGCGGGTGGTGTTGGAGATTGGTTCAATGATGAAAGGAAAGTTGGACGCTCTGACCCAGCAACTCCCCTCCCGTTTGCATCGGCAGGAGGCAATTCCCCGCTCAACGCTAGCGGAGTGCCCATCATTCCTTCAAGCACCACTCCTAATGATTCCATGCAGCAACTCTTTCAGGCTTTGCAGGAAGCTAATAGGCAGATCGCAGAGCTGAAGGCCGGTCGGGGACCTTTGGTGGACCGGGGGGGAAACGGGACGCAACTCCCGCCGCTTACCTCGATCTCCAGCGAGCAACCTGAGCCGCCCGAAACGCCGGGCGCTGTGGCGGAGAGTGCTATTCAAGGCACTCCAATCACCAGGAGGCATGGGATGCCTAATGCAACAAATCTGAAGGTAAGTGCCACCCATCTCACTTACCCATTGGTGGACCCTACTCGCTGGCTTGTACATTATATCATTCTATTGTCCCCAACCGCGCATTACCATTCTTATTCTTTGTTTGTCTAGTCATTCCCACTCTCTGGAATCATTCCATGCAGTGACCTTTTCTCATTCACAATCTCCGTTTTACCCTTCATTCCCATTTTCTGGTTTGCCCTTTGTTTTCATTCTCTGGTTTAACCCTCCTCATCCTCTGGTGGTACACCTCATTCTCATGCTATGGTTCACCCCTCATTCTAAGACAAATGGTTCCCACCATTCTCTTTCTCTGGTTCCAATCCGTGCATTTGCTCATTCTCGTGCAGTCCCTGGTTTTACATGCTTTTTTGCGTATCCCATTCTTGTCCATGGTCATTATCATTCACATTATCTTGGTTTTCAATCCTATTGGCTGGCCCGTCCGTGGCAATGGCTCGTCCACTAGTTTTCTCTGGTTTTCCGTTTAAACCGGATAATTTTGCACCTCCTCTGTCATTGTGGTTTACCTTTACATTGTTGGTCCCTTTATGTCGTATTGAACAGCTCTACATGGAAGAAGCTCGGACGCGCATGTGTATGGAGGCTGAGGACCATCTCATCACGTTCTATCCAAGCTTTGAGAAGCGCATTCTTGTTTTGCACGAAGTTATTTCCGAGCATTACGTGGTTCCCTTGATCATACTCAAGGAGGCCATGGCAGATAAAACGCGCAGGGATGCATTCAAGCACGTGTACACTCAGTGGAAGAACGAGCGTGGGTTTTACGTCAAACGCACCGTGCTCGAGGGTTTGGGGGTTCCCATGAGTGGCTTGCGGGCGGCGGAAATTCACATCGACACCGAGCTCAAGGAGGAACTCTGGGGGGAGTTTGGCCCGAGTGAGTAAACATAAGCTTGTCATTTTCCCCCACCTTCCCCCCCTCCCCCCTTTCTCACCATCTCAACCCTAGCACCCCTATCTTGCAACATCCCATATTCCGTACTTGTTGTCTTAAAAGGTACTTTACATCACCCCCTAACCCTTTTCCCATATCACACCCCAACCCTTGGACCACTTTTGTTCGAGCATGTTGCAGGTGCGGACGCCCTACTGAGCACATGGGGAAATGCCGAGGATAGTGATCTCCCGTTCGGCAACGAGATTTTCTTCAACGCGGCCATGGACGCATTTGGTGAATTTGCCATGGGGAACGACATTTGCTTGAAGGCATATCACATTGCATGGACTATCTTGGTGGTGAGTGACTTGTTAGGGCCCTTTAGCGTGTTTCTCTAGACGGATCTTTTTTCCTTGTGTTTCCACCTGCCCCATGCCATCAACCCTAAACCTTATGCACTCGTGTTTCCAACTTCCCCTCCGTTGCTCCTTGAAACCCAGGTTTCCACTCCTCTCGAGTTGTACCCTAAACCCTCTGGTTGCACTCTTCCACTCATGGACTTACATTGTTAATCCTTTTCTCCTTTCTCCTCACATCCATGCAGTACCCATCAGAACCCTAAACCCCTCAGGTGTTTCCAAACATTCATTGGTTCCCCATTTCCTTCCAAAGCTGCGCCCACTCATGTCTCATGCTCACATTCTAGCACTAGCGTACTTTCCTGCATCTTGCGATTGCCCCGCATAACCATAAACCTCTCACACATCCTTATCAAGCTTGAATTTGTTCATGATTTCCATTCTTGACAACGCAGATCGACTACGGATTGTCGAAGATCAAGAAGTCGACGATGAACCTCACCAACTCCCACCGTAAGAACACGCGGTGGGTGACAAGCATCCGTAGGGCGGTGAAACGGGCGGTGACGGATCATTTCCGCCAGGTGAACCCTGTGTACGATCCACGGATGAAAGGGTTTAAGTGGGGGAACTTCGGCTTGTTCGTCCATGAGTCGGGGTTCGAGGAGTATAGGCCTAGACCACAACCCCGCAACCCGACAAGGAGGGTGGCTTCAGGTCACGTCTAGAGGAGATGAATGGTGGAATTGCAGCAGAGAATGGAGGAGAGGGGTAGCAGCAGGGAAGGGAGGAGAGGAGCAGCAGCAGGGAAGGGAGGAGAGGAGCAGCAGCAGGGAAGGGAGGAGAGGAGCAGCAGCAGGGAAGGGAGGAGAGGAGTAGCAGCAGGGAAGGGAGGAGAGGAGTAGCAGCAGGGAAGGGAGGAGAGGAGTAGCAGCAGGGAAGGGAGGAGAGGAGTAGGATGGGGGAAGAGAGGTGAGGAGTAGGAGGGGGGAAGGAAGGAGAGGAGCAGCAGCAGGGAAAGGAGGAGAGGAGCAGCAGCAGGGAAGGGAGGAGAGGAGCAGCAGCAGGGAAGGGAGGAGAGGAGCAGCAGCAGGGAAGGGAGGAGAGGAGCAGCAGCAGCGAAGGGAGGAGAGGAGCAGCAGCAGGGAAGGGAGGAGAGGAGCAGCAGCAGGGAAGGGAGGAGAGGAGCAGCAGCAGGGAATGGAGGAGAGGAGCAGCAGCAGGGAAGGGACGGGAGGAACAGCAGCAGGGAGGGGAGGAGAGGAGTAGCAGCAGGGAAGGGAGGAGAGGAGTAACAGCAGGGAAGGGAGGAGATGAGTAGCAGCAGGGAAGGGAGGAGTATCATCAATGAAGGGAGGAGAGGAGTAGCAGCAGTGAAGGGAGGAGAGGAGCAGCAGTAGGGAAGGGAGGAGAGGAGCGGCAGCAGAGAAGGGAGGGGAGGAGCAGCAGCAGGGAAGGGAGGAGAGAAACAGCAGCAGGGAAGGGAGGAGAGGAGTAGCATCAGGGAAGGGAGGAGGAGTAGCATCAGGGAAGGGAGGAGAGGAGTAGCATCAGGGAAGGGAGGAGAGGAGGAGCAGCAGGGAAGGGAGGAGAGGAGGAGCAGCAGGGAAGGGAGGAGAGGAGCAGCAGTAGGGAAGGGAGGAGAGGAGCAGCAGCAGAGAAGGGAGGAGAGGAGCAGCAGCAGGGAAGGGAGGAGAGGAGTAGCAGCAGGGAAGGGAGGAGAGGAGCAGCAGCAGGGAAGGGAGGAGGGGAGCAGCAGCAGGGAAGGGAGGAGAGGAGCAGCAGCGGGGAAGGGAGGAGAGGAGCAGCAGTAGGGAAGGGAGGAGAGGAACAGCAGCAGGGAGGGGAGGAGAGGAGCAGCAGCAGGGAAGGGAGGAGAGGAGCAGCCGCAGAGAAGGGAGGAGAGGAGCAGCAGCAGGGAAGGGAGGAGAGGAGCATCATCAAGGAAGGGAGGAGAGGTGTAGCAGCAAGGAAGGGAAGAGAGGTGTAGCAGCAAGGAAGGGAGGAGAGGAGTAGCAGCAGGGAAGGGAGGAGAGGAGTAGCAGCAGGGAAGGGAGGAGAGGAGTAGCAGCAGGGAAGGGAGGAGAGGAGTAGCAGCAGGGAAGGGAGGAGAGGAGTAGCAGCAGGGAAGGGAGGAGAGGAGTAGCAGCAGGGAAGGGATGAGAGGAGTAGCAGCAAGGAAGGGAGGAGAGGAGTAGCAGCATGGAAGGGGAGGAGAGGATGCAGCAGAGAGTAGCACAGCAGAGAGGATGCAGCAGAGAGTAGCACAGCAGGGAGGATGTAGCAGAGAGTAGTACAGCAGGGAGGATGTAGCAGAGAGTAGCACAGCAGGGAGGATGCAGCAGGGAGCAGCACAGTAGGGAGAATGTAGCATGGAGTAGCGCAGCAGGAAGCATGCGGCATAGTATGGACCTAGGGGTTGATAGTGGGGAGAAGTAGCGCAGGTGCCAGCTAGGTACCAGAGGATGAGTAGGCATCTACTGTGTTGTAAGCATTTTTCAAGCTAATATTATGATTTACACGTACATTATTTCCCTCTTACGGTGAATTTATGGAAAGCCCTATACAAACTACCAATTGTGATTTTCAATCTCCAATTGTGGTTTCTTTAAATGTTGCATATTCCTATTCCTATATTATTATGTGCATATAAAAGTGTGAAGCAAAACTTATCCAAGCACAAAAAAGAATCACATAATTTAACCAAATATGATCAAAACGAGTTATCCTAAACACAATGAGAAGTTCCTCACAACTGTTTTAAAACACTCCAACCATCTACAAAGCATCTGACACATCATCTTGGAAAAGTTCGATACTTTCTTCTAAAAAAGTACCGACCCCTACATCTTCAAATCATCTGCAAAAACACATGAGAAACACATCATGAGAGGTTTTCGGCCACTTGATTTTTGTGATGACCTGACGGGGCTCCTGGCACCTGACGGGCACCTGACAGGACTCCTGGCACCTGACGGGGCTCCTGGCACCTGACGGGGCTCCTGGCACCTGACAAGGCCAAGCGAGGGCGGGGCCATATTCGCGTCAACACTCATCCCCACAGCCAGCGGGGATCATGGTGAAGCCAGTGCGTCACCAATAACCAACACAACGTCCCTCCCACTGATCTGCACCACTCACCACTCACCACCACCACCACCACCAGTCCTCACCACAGCACAACTCACTACAGCAGCAGTCACCACCAGCAGAACACACCAGCAGCAGTGACTCACTAACACAGCCGGTGGGCGTCATGGAGAATCCAACGTTGCAGACGCAGGTGGCGCTGCCCCTGTCCTTCACGCACACCGCATTGGCGCCACAGTTCCGCTGCACACACGAGTCTGGCGAATATGAGGCGAAAGGAACAGAGAGGGAGGAGGGAACAGGAAGGAGGAAGGAAGCGAGTAGGAAGAAAGAGGAGGGAAGGGGTCGAAGATCGGAACGAGGAGAGGAATGGGACGGGGAGAGGGAGGAAAGCAGCGAAAAGAGGAGCACGGTTGTAAGATGAAGCATGGATAGGTGGAACGGAGAGAGCAAAGAGTGCTGGGAACAGCTCGCCTCATCAACTCTTCCCAAGGCTCGCATCCTCCGGGGTTGTTCACAAGTCTGGAAAATACTTCAAGTGTGGACGAGCCAGGAGGGGGAAATGCAAACCAACAGGGTGAATGGAAAGAGAGCAGCAGCCGGTGTCACATCCTTAAGGGTTTGAGGGCAAGAGAGCTGGAAATGGTGCGTTTCAGCAGCCCTATCAAGTGTTTCGTTTCAGCCCTGGTGTGGTGGTAAGTACAGGCTGCTGACTTACGGTCGGGGGCGTTACTCGCAGCTGGCAGGCGAACAGCAGCAGTTCTTGGCGCACAGGCTGAGAGGGATGAGGGAGAGGGCAAGGGGTGTGGGGGGGGGGATGGGAGGAAATGAAAGGGAAGAGGATGAGAAATGAGGCGAACAGAAACGGCCCTGGGCGCACAGGCTGAGAGCGGATGAGGGAGAGGGGAAGGTGACAGGAGAAGGGGAATACGAAAGATAGGAAGGAGGATTAGGATGAGGCAAGGAAAGGTAGATATACCCTGGGCGCAATTGCTGAGAGCGGATGAGGGAGAGGGAGGGGGGTGAGAGAGAAAAGAGAGGAAAGAGGATGGGAAGAGGGGATAAGGGAACCTAAGGCTGAAGAGGGGGGGGGGTTGGACGCACAAGTTGCACGAAAGAGCCTCTTTGAAACGAAAAAAAATGATGCGGCTGGGAAATGGGGGAAAGGGGGGAGGGGAGTTAGAGGAGGGAGGGGTAAAACTGGGGAAAGGGGAAAAAGGGGGGAGGGGACGGGGCAAAGGGGGGCGAACGAAGATGGAAGGTGCGGGTAAAGAGAAAGCGGAACGGGAATGTTTGGGGTGAAGAGTAGCTGAGCCGAGGTTGCTAAGGGCAGTGACCAACGCGGCGTCACGCGGCGTTTGGGATTGGTGGAGGAGGAGAACGTTTGTCAGGAGAAGCATCACCACTGGCAGTTTCGTGATAAACTTCAGCCAAATAATTAGACATGCATACGGTGAGACCTACTAGAGTGCACAATTGAGCATGAGAGCATACCTGAGAAGATGAGCGCATAACCACGAGCAAGAGAGCACACCTGAGAGCATGAGAGCAGCCAGTGCAGCGAACACGAGGCCAGAGCGCCGCGCCACCACGCGGCCGTGCAAACGCGCCATCATGCCTTGGTGCCTTCAAAACGATGCGGTCGATAGCGGGAGAATGGGTCAAGCAAGGAGTTCTCGCAGCAGCACAGCAGGCAACTCAGGCTCTGACGCCACTTGGAGTACAGAAGCAGCGTAAGGGCGCGTTCCTGTTACTAGCCACGTTGACGGGAATGGCGTCAGTGGGAAAGCAATTAGCTGGCGCTGCTTGCAAGGGCATGGCAGGAAATACCTTACACAGCTAACTTCGCAATGAAGCAGGACGACCAAGCGCAGATGATGGAAAAAACTTAAAGATTGATAGAAAAGGCAACAGCTACTAGTAGTAGGACTAAATGACAGGCGCAGGAG